CCTTCCTTCCTTCCTTCCTTCCTTCCTTCCTTCCTTCCTTCCTTCCTCTCCTTCCGTTTTTTTCATTTTGTCTTCAGTTTCTTCCTTTTCTCCTTTTTCCTCTTTTCTTTCCATTTGTTTTCTTTCTTCCTTTTCCTTTCTTTCATTTTCATTTCTTTCTTTTTCTTTCTTTCATTTTCCTTTCTGCCTTCTTTAGTTTTCCTTCCGGTTTTCCTTCCTCTCCACCATTTTCACCTCTCTGCATTGGCTGATTTTGTTTTTTTGGATTAATCCATTCTTATTGCCTTCCTCCCTCCCCCCGCCCCTTCGCACTTCCCCAATTTGGCGGTTTTCTAACTCCGCTTCCCATCGTTCCCTCCCATGAGGAGCTCGGCCCCAGATAGCTGGGGAGTGAGTAGATTTTTTTTCTTCCAAACCTGTAGCCCAAATTTGGGGTGGGGGGTACAGAAAAAGATCTGTGTTGGGATTATTGGTGAAAAAAAACATCCAGAGATCAGTGAGTAGTTTTCCATAACGCCGTACTACAGTTCCCATCATGCAAAATATTGATATCCTGATGGGGCTGGGTGCAGTTTGCAGCAGAAAGCGTCATTTTTTGGGGTTGGGGGGGTGGGAGGGTGAGGTAGAAAAATCTCTTGATTCAGGTGAATATTTGCAAATTATCAACCAATATTTCTTAATGCTGGTTGCTTGAGAAGATGTCTGGACTTCAATTCCCAGAATTCCCCATCCAGAACAAAACCAGCTACGTTCAGCTGGAGAAAGCTGCTCCCGTTGAACATCTGCCTGTCCTGAAGCTCTAAAGCACGGGTGGGTGACCAATCTTGGCCACTTTAAAAATGCGTGGACTTCAACTCCCAGAATTCCTCAGCCAGCGCTATGATGCTTCCTCAGTCAGGCAGCTATGCTTCCTGGGGAATTCTGGGAGTTGAAGTCCACAAGTCTTAAATGATTATTTATGATTGTGGGGATGGGATAACGGTCGTAACTGTGAAAAACGGTCCTAAGTCATCTTTTTCCGTGCTGTTGTAATGCTTCATTAAATGAAAGATGGTAAATTACAGACAAATTCCAGGCTGGGGAATTCTGGGAGTTGAAGTCCTCATATCTTCAAGCATCCAAGGTTAATAAATACGGCTATAAGCTTTTTTTTAATGGTGAGTGCAATAGTGGGATCCTATCTTAGTCGCTACCAGTTCAGTGGGTGATCACAAGCACCCTCGGGATGTTTTTTACCGAACCGGTAGCATATCACCACTGGGTGGGTTCCCCCCATTGTATCAAAAATCTGCAAATCTAGACTTGGGGAAAAAAGTTGCACCATTCATACATGACGTTTTACCTTCTTTCAGGGTCTTTGTTTCCTGGTTTTCTTGCTGCTCACGGCTTCTGTTTCAGCCTACATGGGTGCCGCCTTGCTGGAGATATTGGTTACCCTGACTTTCCTGGGTTTGCGAGCCACGTACTACCATGAACGGCTGACCCGAGTCAACTGGCCCTGCCTGGTGGGTAAACCTTTGGGGTTAGGGTCAGCAAAGTCCCCCACTGTGGCCTCCTTCTTTAGCAAGTTGCATTGGAGTTAATTAAACAGTGCATTGAAGGACGTGATCCCTAATTTCCTGCCTTTTAGCATTTGAAGGGGTTTTAGGGTCTTGGGAATGACTTTTGCACTGATTCGGTGGCTTTTTTCCGCTTGCAGGATTTCCTTCGGTGCGTCAGTGCGGCCATCATCTTCATCGTGGTGGGCTTTGCTGTCATTGCCACCAACCACGAGGGATCGGCCGTGTCAGCCTTTGTGAGTGACCGCCGTTTCTCCCGATTGGCTCCTTGCATTGGGAGTCGGATTCCCAGAATTCCCCAGTCAGCCTCTGGGGAATTCTGGGAGATCGTATTCCGGATCTCAGATTGACCCAGAGGGAGGATGGAAAATTTACATTTGGGGGGCTGCTGCACTTGTTGAACCAAAGCTATTTACAACCAAACCCTTTTTACACAAGTCTTTTATTGTTTAATTTATTTATTTATTATTTTTATTATATTTTAGTTTAGTTTATTTGAGTTTATTTTATTTATGTTACGTTAGGTTTTTATTTTTTATGCATTTTTATTTTATTTTTTATTTTATTATAGTTTATTTCAGTTTATTTTATTTATGCTATATGAGGTTTTTATTTATTTTTATTTTATTTTTATTTTACTTTAATTCATTATTTTATTTTGTTTCAATTTATTTTGTTAGCTTATTTTATTTATGTTATGTTTTTATTAACTCAGTTTATTTTATTATTGTTTTTACTTTATTTTATATTTTATTAGTTTATTTTATTTTATTTATGTTATGTTTTTATTTTATTAGTTTATTTTATTAATGTTGTTTTTATTTTATTTATTATATTTTATTTCAATTTAGTTTAATATGTTGCTTTTATTTTATTTTATATTTGTTATTTTATATTTTATTATTTTATTTCATTTTAATTTCGTTTTATTTATTATTTTATTTTAATCTTCATTATTTTTACAAATAACTCAAGGTAACTCAATATTCAACACAATAACCTACTCTTATTTTTCCCACAACAATGCTGTGACGTTGGCTGGGCTGAGAGAGACGTTATTTATATGTTACCCAGTCCATTTTCAAGTGATTCTGGGCAGCGTATACATTTAATAAGTAAAGTTATGAATATTTATTTATTATATTTAATACATAAAAGAACAGAGCTTGGGTCAAAGGGCGGCCATCTTGATTTTTTAGCCCCTTCCATTCCAGGTTGCAAATTCCCCTGTAAAAAATTTTTTTTCAGAGATAAATCTAAGAAAATTCCATGCAATACAAGTTAAGCGCCCGTGAAATGCTAACTTTGGGCTTAACTCCGGGGGTTGGGGGGAAATGTGATTTTTTTCCAAATTGGAGAGCTCTTTAAACTCACAAGCTTTGCTTCTTTATTTCATGGCAGGTTTTCAGTCTTATTCTAATTGGAATTTTCTGCTTGGATGCCTACAAAACCTACCAAGCGGAGATGGGATCAGAAGAAGGTGAGCAGATCAAATGAATTTGTAGAATTTGTGCTCGTTTTTGCTGCGGCTGTGCTGAGCAAGTGGGACAGACCTGGCATGAAAAAAAAGCCAAAACCAGATGGGAGACCACCAAGCTAGTGGTGCGTTTCAATTTTTTTTTACCACTGGTTCGGTGGGTGCGGCTTGGTAGGCGTGCTTTGCGCACACGCACACATTTTGCGTGCGTGTTAAATGACTCACCTCCTGCCATCCTGCATTCTCCCTGTGGCTTCAGCAGCTGACGTGCAGCAATATGTTGTGCCGCGCAAAGCAGCTGCGCTTTGGAAGCAGGGAATAAAAGTTATTATGGAAGGCCAGGAGGGCAGGTGGGCCCAACAGCAGAGCATCAGAGAGAACAGGTTCAGTCTGCGCTGCTCATTGGCGCTATCAGCTCGGCAGAACCAGGCCAAACCGGTAGAATACCACCACTGCACCAAGCGATGTCCGGAGTGAGGAAAGTAGTGAGGAAAGCCGCAAGAGACATCCTTGTAATCCCCAAATTTGGAATGAAATCTGATGACAGATTTTCCTGAAAGGTTGGAACAATGATTTAATCCTGGCTTCAAGCCGGGGAAAGAATGAGAGGGAAGTGTTTGGAGACTATGCAGATGTCTTGATTGATATTTAGTAGGTATAATTATAAATAAAAATGGATACTCTGTCATCTCCACCATCGTTACTCGATCTCTGCAACTTTTAAGATCTGTGGACTTCAACTCCCAGAATCCCCCAGCTGTGAATTCAACCAGCTGTGCTGGCTGGGGAATTCTGGGAGTTGATGTCCATCATCATCTTCTTTTAACAACACCATTATCCCTTGCGGGGTGGAGTTTGGGCAACTGAAAGAAGCTAGCTGAGTGTTTAATGGCCGGATGCCCTTCCTGTCACCAATGCGGAGTTTTGTTCAGCAGATATATTCTCATTGTGCCCAGAGGGAGAAATATCTGCCTCTATTTAGGATCGAACTCACAGTCTCCTGATTGTGAGGCAACAAACTATCGAATGACATATGTTAGAAAGGCGTATAAAATAATCAAAATGCTGGCCCTGCCCCTACACCGGAAGACACATCCCTTGTTCACCTGCCTAATTTGGATTTTGACTTTTTTTTGACACTCCTGTGGTTGTTCTGAGGTCAAAACCCACTGACCTCCTTTTCTACCAAATTGCTTTTCCTCTTCCCTTACAGACCCGGAGCGTCGGTGAATTTGCACGCTCACATGTCCAGTGGTGAAAATCCCACCTCAGGTCTCCAGCCTCTATATCGGCGTGTGCTCTCAGAGCTGAATCCATCTTTCCTGGAGAATCTGGATCTGTGATTTTAGATCATTTCTAGATTTAATTTACCGGAAAGACAAAATTAAAATGGTTTTGGATGCGATACAATAGGCTTCACATTTCCAGCGACCGAATATACATGCAGGAAAAAGTGAACACAGATGTCTTTTACTACTAAACATATCTATACTACTAAAATTCTTGTGTCTGTCAGTTTGTAACCTTCAATTGGGTGAAACAGTGCATTGTCAAGCAACAATTTTTGAATTCATGTATTTCAAAGGGGCTGATTTAAAGATTGTGTCCAAAATCTGGGACCCAGGACTTTTGTGGGGTTGAATTTTGGCAAAGCCGTGGCTATTTGCTGCATTCATGATTTCCAACAGGCCTCCCAGTTTCCCACAAAAACAGTCATTGGAGAAGCCTGAAGGAAAAATGAGTCGCTATTACTTCCAATTGTTTTTTGTTTTTTTTTGCTTGTTTCTCTGTTTAGGGAAGGAAATCTATCTGAAACAATGACTCCATCGGTCATGGGTTGTCTAGTAGAACCCTAGACTCCCTGAATCAGGAGGTTATCTTAGAGGTCATCCAATCCAACCCCTGCAAAGTAGGATGCTTGGGAACATTGTTAACAAGTCCTATCTAGATTCTGTTTGAAGAACTTCAGTGAAGGAAAACTCACCACTCTATGTGGCTACTTGTTCCTCTAGCTCAGGGGTCTCCAATTAAGACTTGTAGACTTCAACTCCCAGAATCCCCCAGCCAGCTATGTTGACTAAGGAATGCTGGGAGTCAAAGTTTACAAGTCTTAAAGGAGCCAAGGTTGGAGACTCTTGCCTTAGCTGATAGCTCACAACCTTAGGAAATTCCTCCTGATTTCTAGGGTCTACCTCAGTGTAGCGACTTTAAGCTTCAACTCCCAGAATTCCACCAATCAGCCAGAATTCTGGGAATTGAAGTCCACGCATCTTAAAGGAGCTAAGGTTGAAAAACTTTGTACCGTCTCCTCATGTACAGGAACTATGAGTATGCATCTTTCAAAACTGGGTGTGGAAGTATGCCCAAATTGAAGGTTCAAGGGACCCTCGTGCAAATCAGATAAACCAGAAGGGTTGAGCAAAATTCACCTCTGTGGTTATATAATATTTTGCATTAATATTAAGGAATTCCAAGAGCATGAGATAGTTTGAAGCTACAGTGGAGCATGGATGTAAATGTGTATATTATTCATATTGAAAGGCACGTGATATAGAGTGAATGGCCTCTGTGTGAAGCAGTGGGTGTGAGGCCTGGGCACAATGTGTGCGAATTGAGCATTTTTGTACACGCAAAAAAAACGGTTTTCAAACTTTGGCAAGCAGTGCAATCACTTAAAAACGAGCCCGCAGAAATTTCCCCTGATGAAGAGATGAAATTGGATGGGTTGGAGTGAACTTTTGAATTTCTCTTTCATTTCTCCAAGAAATCTCATCAAGAGTCCAATTCACACAATTACTAAGGTTGTGAAAAGCTGGTCTAGAGAGCTAGATTTGATGAGCTGCCCAGGGTGACGCCAGGCACAACACGTAGAGATAGTCCTTGACTTACAATCTCATTTAGTGACTGTTCGAAGTTACAACACCCAGTGAAAGAAGTGACTTATTTTTCACACTACATGTGCATGGTCGTTTAATGACCCTGTAATCCCTTGCGGGGTGGAGTCTGGGCAACTGAATGGATCTGAGTGTTTTAATGGCCGGATGCCCTTCCTGTCGCCAATGCAGAGTTTTGTTCAGCAGATATATTCTCATTGTGTGCCCAGAGAGAGAAATATCTGTCTCTACCTAGGATCGAACTCACAGCATCCTGATTGTGAGGCAAGAGCTCCACCTCTAGGCCACCACACCACTCACTACATGTGCATGGTCACATGTTCAAATTTCGGATGCTTGGCAACCAGCTTGTATTTATGTCGGTTGCAGTGTTCACTGAACAACCTTGCCCAGAAAGGTTGTAAAAGAAGACAAAACTCATGTAACCACTGTCTTTCTTAGCAACGGAAATCTTGGGCCCCATTGTGGTCGTTAAGTCGAGGACTAGATGTAAAAAGGGAAACTGTACAGCTAGTCGAGTTACGGCCCTAATTGAACCTGGCAATTATGGTCTCATAAATTGTGAAAGTTTTAAAATGGGTTACCATTGCTAAGTGAGTTCGCCCCATTTTACGGCTTTTCTTGCCAAGAATCACTGCAGTTGTTAAATGAATCACTGCAGTTGTTAAATAAATAACATGGTTGTTAACTGAGTCCGGTTTCCCCATAGACTTGGCTCGTGAGAAGATTGCAGAATAGGATCACATGACCTCTGGACACTGCAAATCGTCATAAATATGAGTCAGTTGCCGAGTGTTTGAATTTTGATCCCCTGACCAAGGGAATGCCACAACGGTCGTTAAGTGTGAAAAATGGCCATAAGTCACTTTTTTCAGGGCCATTGCAACTTTGAATGGTCACTAAATGAATTGCTGTAAGTCGAGGACTACCTGTAGTTTATTTATTTATTTAATATTTATTTTTCACATTTTTGAACCGCCCACCTGCCTCAGAAAATAACTTAGGCCACTGAATCCACTCTGAATTTCTCATCTAAATTAATAATATCACCAAATTAGATGTTAGTTTGTTTTTACTGTTGAATTATGTGTGTGTGTCCTGCTTGATTGGGAGGGAATAATTCAATTTTTGATGCTAAATTCATTCCAGTCCAATTCCTTCCTTCCCATTTATAAAAACTGACTATAATACTTAACATCGCCACCAGAGTGAGCCAACCCACAAGAAATAAGTCCTTGGTAGGGAATCTAATTTCGCCTGCAGATGCCAATTCTGAACACTAGGGGGCACCATTGATCCTTGCAATTTTAGAATTAAGAGCTAGAAACCCAATTTTTAATAAGATATTAGGAAAATAGTCCCCTCTATCACTAATATTGTACCCGGTTAACGTAACTCAAAGGCACGCTTGTTTACAAAAGCTGCAATACATGCATGATCTAAATACAAGTAGTCCTCAACTTATGACCACAATGGAGCCCAAAATTAATGTTGCTAAGTGAGAAATTGGTTAAGGGAGTTTTGTCCCATTTTCTTGCCACATTTGTTCAGTGAATCACTGCAGTTGTTAAATTAGTAACACGGTTGTTAAGTGTTGTTAACTGTTGCTGTTGTTTTTGCTTGTCAGACGGTTGTAAAATGGGGATCACGTGACCCTGGGACATTGCAATTGTCATAAATGTGAGTCAGCCATCAAGCATCCAAATGTAAATGTTGCAACAGTCATAAGAGTGAAAAATGGTCGTAAATCACTTTTTTCAATGCCGTTGTAACTTTGAACAGTCACTAAGCGAACCATCGTAAGTTGAGGACGACCCGTATGAGTCTTGGAAATTGTTTTTCCCGTGAACATGATTCTGACGTGATTTTATTTTAACGGGGTGGGAAAATTATTTGATGCCACTTGTTGGTTGGCTCTTAACATACATTTCAGGTTTGAGCAACAGAAATGTGTAGAAACGAGAGATTTTTTTTTTTTTTTGCTATTTGCTAGATTTATTTCACTGCTCTATATTCACATTAGGGCCTCTCGAGGCAAAGGGTTGTCATTAAATGGCTACTTTGGCTACTTTGGCATTAAATGGCTACTTTGGCATCCTCACTCTTCATCGAGAAGTTTCTGGAAGAGAGAAGCAGAAAGGAAAAGCGTGAAAAAAACAAACCAAGAAAGCAGAAATCAATCACAATTCTTTGTGACTATGAAATACGCATATATTTTTTTCTGTTGCAGGATCCCCTGGGAGTGGTGAAGGAGCTTTGTTATTAGGATTATTATTACTTTGTTGTTTTGCACGTAGACTAAGAGCTTCTGCACTGGAGACAAATTCCTTGTGTGTTTAATCACAATCATATTCTATTCCGTTCCTTATTCTTTTCTTTTTTATTATTCTATTTCTATTTCTATTCCTATTCCATATTTTCTATTCTATTCTATTCTATTCTATTCTATTCTATTCTATTCTATT